CCTGGCTGGAAGTATGGATATTAATATTAACATTCTGCTTGTTATCCAGGCACAGGAATGTACAGATTGGCTTGGGGGAAGTCCAAGTAGTCCTTAAAGGAGATGACTATAACATCCTTCTTACACTACTCAAATAAAAGCTCTCCCTGCTCAAACAGCTGAAGGACAAGCAAATACACACTAATAGGTATATATTTTTCTTATCCTAAGACAACTTTCCAGCCTCCTTTCCTGACAGGTACCTGTGGAATGCCAGCAGGTAGTTTGAGTCAGTGTGGGAGGAAGACATTCAAAACCAGTCTGATGAAATTATAGTCTCTACATATAAGTGGTGGAAACAAACACCTAAAAAATGTTTAACATGAAAGCAGAGAGTTGGGGGAGGACTTCACAGTAGGCCTCAATGACATTTTATATTTTCCTCAAAAACCACTTATTGTAAATTCCAAGCACCTCTCACTTATAAAGCATTAAAGTGTGGCTCAGTCATATGTGATCGACTCAAACTATGAAGGGTCAACAACTGTAGTTAAAAATTGCTTATTGCAGATGCTAGTTCAAAGCAAAGCTCTGACACACATTCTTCCTTAGTCAATGTTAACAAAGGTGCAGCTGGATTGGAGCCAAGAAAGTGGACACCACTGCCTTCAGTCACTATGCAGCATTAGCAGCAAGCATAAGAATGTGGGATTATCCCTACAATCCCAGCACACTGGGAGGCTGAGGCAGAAGTATCTCAAATTCAAACCCAGCCTAGGAAACTAAGTAAGACCTTGTCTCAAAAAAAAAGAGGTGGAGGTGTGGAGGGAGTGCACTGAACACACAATTCAGTGCGAAGGCCTGGGTTCAATCCCTAGTGCCAACAAAACAAAACAAACAACAAACAATCAAACAGTGAAGGGCTGGGGATTTAGCTCAGCAGTTTGGTGGCCTGCCTTGCAAGTGCAAGGACCGGAGTTCAATCCCCGGGAAAAAAAAAAAAAAAAAAAAAACCATACACACAAAAAAAACAGTGAAAATGTATTCATCCATGTAAATCCTATGCATTGAGTAGAGTCACCCGGTGACCACTGGGAATGTATAGAAATGTACATTGAATGCATCAGCAGTTCAACACACACAGTCTCTGCAAGTACCAACAAATTTTAGATATTCCTGGGTAGAATACTTAAGGTAACAATAAACACATTATCCACCAAGTATGGTTGCACACGCCTGCAACCCCAGCATTCGGGAGGCTGAGGCAGAGGATCGCTGGGAGTTCACCAGCCTGAATTACAATGTGAGAACCTGACTCAAAAAAAAAACCAAAACCAGAGGCTGGGGATTTAGCTCAGTGGTTCTGCTGCCTGCCTCCTAAGACCAAGGTCCTGAGTTCAAACTCTGGTACACCCCATCAAAAAATAAATAAATAAATAAACTAACACCAACCAAACCAAAAAGTATTATCTGGAACCTATACCAATCTAGGGCCCAGGTACCCCTAACAGAATTGGTATGTACTGGGTTCATGGTATTCTTAGAAAACCTCAGTGAGGGAAAAAAACAAACAAGGTCTATGTTAAAAAGACATCAAAATTAACCAATAAATTACTAAAATTAGAAATTACTATAGATTAATAATCTTCAGGCTAAAAATATAAAAGCTCTGAAAGGATTTCCCAAACATTTCTAAGAGAAATCATGAACAGTGAATGAACTTGTTCCTAGATTCAGAACACTGGATTAGCGGTCTAGGACATACAATTCTTAAGCCGTAAATTCTTTTATTATTCCTTTTGTTCTAGGAATTGAATGCAGAGCCTTTGCACTGAACTATATCCCCAGCCCTTTTTAAACTTTATGACAGGATCTCATTAAATCACTAAGCTGCCCAGGATGGGATGGAACTTGAAATCCTCCTGCTTCAGCCTCCAGTGTTGGGATTACAGACATAAATAAGTAAGTTCTCAATAAACATAAGACAAACCCCCAAACAAGGTACTGAAACATATACAGCTCATTAGCTCTAAGATAGAAGTAAACTGCATGAAAGCTTGAAGCTGTGTCAGAAAAGTTCCTGGATCACCGACGTGTGGGAAGAACAGCTGGCACTTGCAGCACAAGGGGCAGAAGCTACGGCGGCCCTCTCCAGTGAGAACAGAAGCTTTCCAAAGTCGAAGGGGGTATTTTTCAATCTCTTTTCAGAGTAAATTATGTGGTTAAACTTTCTCCTTCTGGATGTCAGTGCTCTCTTTTAGGCACAGGTAGACAATATATGTATTTTTAAAGACTTCTAAAATCTCTTTGAATATTGTTTTGGGACCAGACATAATTAAGTTATGGAAAAGTCTGTGTATGGCAACATTTGAATGGTTTGGATACAATTCAGAAGGCAAATAACCAATTTCCCAGAGCAGAGGTGTTGGAGGATTGTGTCCTAAGGCTGCAAGCGGCTGGGTTTGGCTGATCCCATGACCCTGGGCTTGTCACTTTGTGGGTCTACACTTCTATCTCTGTGAGACAAGGGCGGAGTTGGACCAGAAGATACTGGTTGTGTCTCCACCATCCTTGAAATGCAGTGGTTTAATTTGTTATCTTGAGAACCCACATACAGTTAACTTCCTTCATTCATTCCCTAACACAGCTCTCAGAGAGAGATGCCTGATTTAGGATCTATATCCTATGAGTGTTCTCACAAGTATTCATTCCCTCCTGCACTGCTTCCCATGTGGGTTTTGCAGCAGCTTCCACAAAAAGGTAATTGGCTGCAGTTCCCTGAATATGAGGTGCTGGCTCCCAGCCCTTTGCCACGCAGTTCTTTTCTCATCGTAGTCTTCATTCTCCTCCTTCAGTCTCAGCCAACTCCCATTCTCTCATCAGAGCCATCCTGATCCTCTCCTCTCCACACGGTCCTCTTATATTCCTGTGCTCTGGAACACTTCCCTCAGAGCACTCAGCAAGTGGAAAAGTGACTGTCGCCCTAAATATAGTTTTCCACCTGAACTCCTTGAGGGGCACAAACCATGCCACATTCAAGTTTTTGGGTTTTCTTGTTTTTGGAGAAAGAGTCTTGGCTCTGTTTAGGCTAACCTTGAACGCAGTGATCCTCCTGCCTAAGCCTCCAGAGTGTTAGATTACAGGTAAGTACCACCACGCCCGGCTCCATTATATTTAAATTTGTAACACTTGAGTCTGGCACACAGGGGCTCAATGCATATTTGCTGAATAAATCAGTTGTAATTTTTAGTTCATTAAGGGGTCATTTTCTCTGGAGCAATTATATTTACTCAAGGCTGAAAATAATGAAAACTCCATTAGGACCTTGTTATGGGCTCAACTGTGTCTCCCTCCACCCTAAAATTCATATGCTAGAGTCCCAACCCTGGAATATCTCTTTGGACACTGGGTCTTTAAAGAGGTGATAAGTCAAGTGACTGGTGTCCTTGTAAAGAGGGACAAGCGCACAGACCCACACAGGAGAAAGCAGCACTTATCAACAGCCCACCAACACCCTGATCCAGGATTTTGAGCATCTCAACTGTGAGAAAGTGAATTTCTTCTGATTAAGTCACCTGGTCCCTAATATTCCAGTATGACAGACCTAGAAACTAATACAGGATATAATCTTATTCTGTACCCAACAACATTTTTAATAGGAAAGTACATATTCAAGTGTGCGCGTGTGCGTATCCGTGTCTGTATGTCTGTGGGCATGCACACTTAGCTACATACTGCCAAGTAGACAATCTGCTAGCTTTTCCCTTGGCGGGCTATTCTGGCACAATTTAGATGGTGCATTTCTCTTTGAAAGATAGAGCCCACTGCCATCTGGCATCTCCTTGTGCACTAAAAATTAGATCTTTAAACTGGATTTAAAAGAAAAAACACAAAAAACAAAAAGGGAAACCACCTGGTCAAGCACCAGCACCTGCTATACTGGAAGAAAATTCAGCTTTTAGGTTCTGAACCACCAGTGCTCTGCCCAGCAAAATCTCACAGCCTTCCTCCAAGCGTCCAGACTCCTGGGCAGAAGACCTAGATCTTGACCCTTTGACCCTCCCTCCCTTAGCTTCTCTCTCCTACCTGCGAGAATTGCAGAACAGCGGTCACTGTGAGAATGTGCAGCCTATGCTTCCTGCATGGCTCCCCTCCTTTGAGCCAGACCCTGCATCTAGCTACCATATGGCCACAATTCATTGTCACAGGCACAGCTCCAGGACTCCTGTCTCAGTTGGAGCTCTTCCAACCATCAAACCCACACAGCAACACTGCTGGTTGTGATTATTGAATTGGAACTTTAGAGAAATGTTTCCACCCCAGTCATACCTCAATAGGCTCAAGTCCAGAGATAAGACCAGTCATCTGAGGGATTAGGCTCATTAGAACAAAGAGATAGCACGAGACAGGAGGAACCAGTGGACAGGGCCACAAAGGGACACACATCCAGGCACCACCAAAAGGAAGCACTGAGGGACACAGAAATTTGAGATTGGACATTTGCCCCAAAAGGTTGGATTATCTCAGAGTCCTTTCGCTGGCTCTAGAGAACAGGAGATTCATGAGATGCTGTCATGTAAGCCCCAGAGAAATGTCTACAATGGTCAAGACACTTAACAAATGCTAGGCAACAGCATTTAAAATTAATGCTTAAAGTACTATTCCCATTTTAACAAATCTGAAAACTCTAAGTCATTCAAAGGAAAAAACATACTTTTCTTTGGATTTAATGACATACTGGTTCTGGAACACAGCACAGAGATCTAGACTAGACTAGATCTAGATCTGGGTCCCTCCACAAATTAGCAGCATAGCATGGGCTTGGCACATTCTGGCCTCAGCTTCCTTACCTAGAAAACATTAGGAAAAGTATCTCCCTCACAGGACAGTCAGAAAGCTATAATATTTTATAACTTGTAAAGCAATTAGGGTAGTCCCACAACTGGCATATATAAAACATTTAGAAACATTAGCTGCACCCGCAATGAGGGAGACATAAGCCTCACTGTGGAGTAACATACCTTAACTTTGGAATTTTCTATCAAATGCTGAGCCATGGATTTTATCAGCACATCAAAGAAAAACCAAGAATACTAAAAGAAAAAGAAAAGAAATAAGACCCCGGTGAGAATAACAAATTAAGAGGTAAGAGGTGAACTCTCTTAGGCTGGCAGCACTATCAGCCAAAAGCAGCCATGACCCTAAAACACAGCTGAATCTTTTGGCAAATCATCAGGCCCAAGAGGAGACTGGTAGGTGTCCTCTACTTGAGCATGTTCAACAGTAACCCATCCACTGGGAAAGTGCAGGCCTCCCCAGTAAGAGGCACTGCTGGATCATCCATGTAATATTCCTCTGTGCGGAGCTCTTGCTTAATGACACCCTAAATATATAATCTCTAAATCACTGTCCTCCACTGATAGAATATAATGACTCAAGAGCCAATGCAATTGTGAATGTGGTAATTCTTTGCAGCACCTATCTGAATACATGATTAGCAAAGCTGCAATTGGAGAAATGATTCTGTTACCACTCTCAGCATTGCCAGGTCTCAAACTGTGAGCTCAAATGAGTTTCCTACCTCAGCCTCCCAAGTAGCCAGGATTACAGGCTTATGCTACCATGCCCAGTGGTCCTTAACTTGCCTACTTCTTAAGTGATACATAAAAACATACAAAGTGTACATGTTAATGGAGCTCCACTTCACATTTTGATATTTTTACATTGTGTAATATTTAAACATGTTTAAACCTATCTAGTTCCTCATCGTTTTCTACGGTGAAAACTTTCAAAACTCATTTTACCTTTTGAAATGTACAATACTTCATTATCTTCTAGTCACCTACTGCATAGCAGCACCCAGTAGTTGCTTCTATCTAACTGTAACTTAGTATCTATTCATCAACCTTTCTCCATTAATCTGTTTCAATAAAGTCTTTCACTGGCTATCTATCCTACATACCTTCAGTAGTTTGTTGCTTGTGAGGAAATCAGCAGAAGGCTTGAGAATGGTGGTCATGGATTTAGTCAGCTCTTCGTGCACTGTCTTATATTCAGAAGCAATATACGGCTCAGCCTTATAAGCATACTTGGAAAAAAAGAGAAGGACATTTTACTGCTCTGGTTCTCCAAAATGGGCTGAATACTGAGGCTCCAAAGAATGGAGATCAGGGACCAAAGTCTAACTTCATGGGTGGGAGAGAGGAAGGCATGGAAACAAAGGTGGGAAGAGTGATTGTCATGTAACAGAAAAAGGGAGCCCAGGATGTCTTCAGGGAGCCCATCAGGTAAAAAAATCATCTGACTCAGTCAGATCAGCAGCTATCTAGCTTGTAACTCCATCCATCTATGAGAGGAACTTCAAGGAATGTGTCCTGCAACACTAGTAATTGATATCAAGCACCCAAACTTTGTTTTTTAAACTATCACATAGCTGAACTCACAAAGCAGACTTAGAATGAACACATGTAACTGCCACTATGTATATATATAATGTTGTATGTTAATAAACAACCTGTTGATATTTGTCCTATTGACATCTCTTGCTGTCCCACTTAGCCATCTTATTTGATTGTGGCCAGAATTAGCCTCTCTTGCTTGGGAGAAGCCATTTGCTAGAATTTAGGTGGAAAAAAGAAAAATGAAGAAGACTAAATTTACCAGAGGCCTGCCAAGAGTAACTTAAAAGTCTTTAAAATTCTATATTATTTGAGCCACTTTACTTGTTCAAAAGATGAAATTAAATAAATGAAGGAGTGGCTGCCTTTCTTTATACTTTCTCTTGTTCAGGTACAAGCTCTGGCAATAGGGATAGGATAGAAAGTATAGGTAGCAAATTAGAACTACATCCCTAAATAACCAGGCTTGTTTAAAAAAAAAAAAAAAAGTCCTTAGAAGGAAAATTGGAGAGCCACAGATGTAAATGATCAGAACAGTTTGTTTTACATACCTTAACATATGACCTCAAGTGGCTCTCCAATCCTTCCTCATGGCACTGGGCAACCACATGAATAATGACCCTACACACCACAGGAATGAATAAAGCAATGAATAGTAATGTGAAAATGGAAACATTTCATTATTATAGAAGTAGCAGTAGAACAGTGATGATGCTATTGGCACTTAGGAAACAAGGAGACGAGGAATTAGATGGCATCCCCATGTATGGGACCAAGACATTTCTTCAATAAATGTTCAGCACATACTAGCATCCCAGATATGCATGACTGTGCTCCAGATGTGGACAGACTGGAAGCAAAGAAAAGTATCCATCCATCCACCTCCCTTACCGGGTCACATTAACTGCGACTTCCTCCTGGGTGGCTCTGGTGAGGACTCGGAATAGCTGGTTTAGGATGGTGGGCAGGAAGGCGATCATCACGTGGCCTTCCATTGCATGCAGACTCTACAGACAAGGAATGGTGAAGTTCACACTATCATTTAAAATGTTACCCAGCGCAAAGTAATTTCTACTTAGTTTCACAGAAAGATGGAAGTACTTCCCCTAAAATGAATGGAAGGTTCAGGGGGTTGTAAAACGGCCCCCAGGGATGTTCATGGCCTAATCCTGAGAATCTGTGAATGCTACATGGCACAGGAGAATTGCTAATCAGTTGTTCTTAAATTAGAGATTATCCAGATGAGCTGCTGTAATCACAAAAGTCCTTAAAACTAGAAAAGGAAAGCAGAAAGAGTCAGGGAAGCTGTGACAAAGGACACATGTCACAGGTGCCATACTGCTGTTGGTGGATGGAAAAGGGGCCAAGAGCTATCATGTATAAAAAAAAATCTCATTGTTTGTTGTTTCAAAAATATGTGCATGTATGTTTTTTTTTTCCTTGCCTAAACCAAATCCATCTAGCCTATTATATTTCTTACTTGGTCTCGCACCCAAAATGCCCATAGCTAGTTAAGTTGTCTGGTCCAAAACAGTCCCCCATGATTATGTTCAGTTGAAAGTCCCCCATGAACCCTCTTCTTGCTCTCACCATTCAAGCGACTTCAGGAGCCTCTCTAGCTCCTGCACAAAGCTGGAAATGATTAGGTTTGTTATTTCTCTGATTTATCTACCTAGCATGCATTCACCAAATTCACTTTATCTCCTACAGTGAACTATAATTCCTTAAAGGAGAGGACTGCTATGGTTTGAGTGTGTTCTTCCAAAAGCAGGTGTTGGAAGCTTAATCCCCTATTTCAACTGTGTTAGGAGGTGGTGTTTGACAAGTAGTAACTGGGCCATGAGGGCTCAGGCTTTAGGAATGGATTAATGATGCTACTAGTGAGGTGGATTTGGAATGATGGGAGTGGGTTCTTTATAAAAGGATGTGTTTGGTACTGTTTTGCTCTCTTTCTTCCCCTCTCCTCCACCCAATCTTTCCCTTCAGCCTTCCACTGTGGGATCACTCAGCAAGAAGATCCTCATCAGATGCTGGCACTAGGACCTTGGACTTCCCAGCCTCTAGCATTATGAGAAAATAAATTTCTGTTCTTTGTGTAAATTATGGTCTTGAGTTTTCTGTTATGGGAGCACAAAATGGATTAAGACAAGGACTGTTTCTTCTGTGCTGACACTGTGCACGATACTCAGGGAGCACTTCACAGACACCTGTGTCTAGTAAGTGGCTTTACATGCATGAGAAAAAATGTGTTTGCAAAGTCCAACTCTGAGAAGAGAACATATAGGATCACTACAAAAGACAGGAGCAGTGCTAACTCTACTTGCTTCTAAACCTAAACTGAAACCATCATTATGAAAACACCAGGTGACAACATCCTTCCAGAAGTTTTTCTGATTGGATGCCTGATTATAGCGTTGGGGATGGAACCCAAGATTACTAACCAGTAGGCAACACTATTCTACCACTGAGTGACATCCCTGATACCTCACAGAAGTTTCCAAGAGCCAACAACAACACTCATACCAAACAGAAAACCCAACCTACTCCAAACTCATTAAAAAGGGGCGATTAAGAAAGACACAGATACCTTAAGGTATTTTACAAGTTCATTTCCTACAGCCTGAGCTCCAGATTCGGTTTTCTGACAGTACTGGAAAAAATTATGTAAATGCTGATCCTGGGGGAGGGAGAAGAAAAGTCTATTAGTATGCATATTATAGGAGTATCAGCTTCTTGAGTCAAGCATGCATAATTTTCTTTTAATACTAGGAAATTGGTCACATTAAAATGACAGCGATTCTCCAACAAAGAACACTGCTGAAAAATGTTACTTGTACTAGGCATTTATATTACTACAAATGAGCACATTCTATGTACTTTCTTTAAATAAAGATCTGTAGGGTAAAAATATCCATATGACATATTAGGATTCTGTTTAACAAAAAAAGTACGAAATAAGTCACAGAGCATTCACCACTAATTTTTACAGAGTAGCACGCACCTGTGTATACACCGTAGAAACTAAATGAGTAGAAACTTTCAACAGTGGCTTTCCTCCATCTACCCATTTAATTTCTGGACCATAATGCTGAAAAAAATAGGGAAAAAGTTCCAGCAGATTAGTTGTCTTAGCTTAATGTGACCAACAGTAAGAGACTGAGGGATTAAAGGCTCAAAGAGCTTTAGTGACATGAGAGCAGTGCCTGGCAACAGCAGAAGTACAGCCAATACTGACTTCTGCACACCTTCTTCCCTTACGTATGGTTATCTTTTCTCTGTAGTGCCAGCTATGTGAGTTACTGTCCACTGAATAAGGAAATTGTTCTATCTCATCAGTATTTTTTTACTACTGGATTGAGTTCAGGATTCTGAAAGAGATAGTATAAAGTACCACACACAAAATACCGAATAGTTTCCCTGGTGTGAATAATCTGCAATAAAACATAAAATCCTAATAAGATTACTGTCATTTAGAAATGAGAAGAAAGGAGCTAAAGGTGTAGGGAAGGTGGGAGGGGTAGGGGAAAGGTAATATAGGAGAAGAAAAAATGTGAGATAATAAAAAGATGGAAATGAAGTGTTTGTAGA